GGGTAACTGCCTTCCCACAACTGGCTGCAGACAGTGAAAAGCAGTAGGAGTTAAGATGTTGTGGGTATAACTACTCAACTCCCTTAATTGATTTTCCATGATTGCTAACTAATTTTTCATCAGCGTTTGGATTTTGTTTGATACATAGAATATCTCCAACACTTTGGGGAGCTATCACCACAGACAATTTCTGTCATGAATTCAAGGTTATGACTGGAAATTACAATGGACTTTATAAAAAAAGTTTTTAAAATAATTTTAGGGTTTATTTTATATTACATTCATTATTGTTTTATGGTGCTGATTTTCACCTATTCACAACTGATGTAATTAATATGATAATAGTTTTGAAGCTATTTCTTTTAGTATATATATACTATAGATAGATTTTCAGGTTCATCAGTATTAGTTATCAGTTTTTTCAATGCCAATGCAGTTTCTTCAATGCAATATATTTTAAATATATTTTTACTATTAAATAGTGACCTTATTTTATTAAGAATATTATTATAAAGTTCTGGGCTTGATTCAAATACATTTTTCTAAATATTTCCTTTTTTACGCATGTGTACATTCTGAAGCTCTTCAGTTCTTTTTCCATATACTCATTTCATTTTTTTGCCAGTTCCAAATCTTTTTACTGAATTGATTTAATGTTTTATGAATATATAATTTATGTTATAAATTTATATTAAAATATAATGTTTTATTTTATCATTATTAGGCTAGTTTTTGATAATGAGCCTTATTGAATATTTTATTATATGTTGCTTCCCAGTATTTGTGTATAAATTTCATGGTTTTGTTTTCCTAAGACACAGAATTTGAAACTGGTTGTTTTACAGTGATGCATGTTTCAGTTTATTGATGGGGACTATAACACTATCATGTTTTGAATAACAGTTTCTCAAAGTATCAATCTATCACAATACTATTCAGTTGTTTACATACTATTAATAAGTGTAGTAGCACTTAGCTCATTATTTTTGCAACATGTCTCTCACTTTGTCATTGTTAAGTAACAAGCTTCTTTATCCAAAGAAATCATTTAACATACAGGTGTTAAAAAGCCTCCTGTACCCATGCTCTTGCATCGTATAACCAGGAAGTGTTCCCTTGTTCATTTCATGATTCTTGCAAATGAACAGATACTTTCTCTGCAAGTGTGTTTAATTATTAATGTTGAAGAGTTCAACTGATACATTTTAAAAATGCATATGGTGTTTTGCAGATGATGTATTACCTAGAAATAACAAATTCCTTATGGAATGTTTGGAAAATTGAGATGATTGATTATCTTGATATGGTTGTGTTTTTAAAAAATCATAAACTCAATCTCAGGAACTAAACATGTTTAAGTAATGTCACTAGTCACTGTTATATTTAGTATTTTTCTGAGTTATAACCAATATAAAGAAGTAATGCTTCAATTCATCCACAAAAATTCATTTTTTTCAATGCCAATTTAATACATATATTTTTACCATTAAATAGTAATCTTATTTTATTCTGTATATTATCATAAAGTTATGGGCTTGATACAAATACATTTTTCTAAATATTTCCTTGAAAATTTAGAACTATACATTACTCAATTTCTTAATTTAAAAGTAAATATTAAAAAACACAGATAAACATCGATTTTTGTGTGTCATGTG